AGGATGGGAAGCCGAGGCACTCGGATAAAAACCTGTTCCAACGTCACTTGTCTACCGAATAATTTAGTCTCAAGTAGGATTTTGTGTTTTCACCGCGGCGAGTCCGAAGATGGCTGTCTTCTGGGTTGTAGCGCCGTGTAGTCTGGTAGAAGTTTACTAACATTTCAAAGGTCCTTGCTGCCACCATCATCAGGGGGATGAGCTCTTCACTTCAAGAACTTTTCTCACGCTTACACCTACCTAACAGTATTACTGTACGTGACAATAATCATGTTATTTTGAAGCAAATTATAGATAAACTTCATGCCCTACTCAGGGCAATAACATTACAAAAGATTGTGCTTCTTGAGTAAGGTTAGGTTGTGTTGGCATAGCTTGGGTTAGGTTTGGTTAGGTTGAGTTAGGTTTAGTTACGTTAGTTTAGTTAAAGTTGTGGTTTTAGAATGGGTTCAGTAGTTTCCTGGAGAATTTCTATCGTGTTGATCTGGCGGACGTATGGGTATCCAGGAAAATTGCTTGAAAAGTGCTGGAGAAATCCTAGAGAAATGTATTCGTAATGTAGATATTCTGTAGAAGTCCTTGACAAGAGTTTGAGAAATCCTGGAGAGGTTCTGGAGAAATCTTTGAGATATCCAAGATAGGTGTTGAAACGTTATAAAGAGGATCTTTAGAAGTCCTTGAACCGTTATGGAGAAGTGCTGCGGTTACAAATTGCAATATGAAAATGGTTCCATATTCTGAAATTGTGAATGATTGTTACACCTCAAAATAGTTCTTAAGTAACTATGTGTGAACCGTTCAACCAAGTTTCCTTTTCCTGTACAGATATTGAAAATTTTGTTTGGGTTTGGTTATGTTAGGTTAGGTTAGTGACACCCATGCTCAGAAGAACATGCGCAGTTTTCAGCTGCTAAAGGTAGATGTCGTTGAATTTTATTAAATTGCGTAAGTTTTGGCTTGGTTGAATTATGTTAGGCCAGGTCAGTGACTAGCACGCGCAGACTACGATGTGGAATGGTCATCTTGAAAGAGGACGACTTGATTGATTTACGTGAGTGAGGTTAGGTTAGGTTAGTTCAGTGACGCGCATGCGCAGGCACACCATCCACAATTTTTGGTTCCTGAGGTGTTGATTTTGTTTAATTTGATTATTTTAGGTTAGTGATGCACACGAGCAGACGACAATTCCCAGAGAACAATGTGCAATGATCAGCTGCAAAGGGGAATGTTTGACTGCATTTGGTTACGTTAATTGAGGATGGGAAAGTCGGGTTAGGTTAGGGAACGTTAGTGACTGCTGTTAAAATGTGTTAAATCGTGATCTTAGTCTGTGTAAGACGCTGTAGATCTGGGTGTTTTAACAGCAAGCAAGCTGCATCTGAACTTCTTAATTCGAACTGGATGTACAAGGGGAACGTCGAAGTGTTTCTGGAAATGGAAGAGGGGAGTGTTTATGGTGTGAATAACCCGTGAGCTTTTGGTCGATGTATGCACACGTGGTAGCTGTGAGGGGTAGGGACAAAAATAAACTGGTTGGTAGGCATCTGCTGCTACTCACTCGAGAATGGTCCAGGGAGACAGAAGGAAGGGGATGGAAACTGCTGTGTGAGGAAGACGCGGAGAGGAATGTTGGGTAACGTCCAAAACCGAATATTGTGGAGAAAAATCAGATTGGGATTCTCTTCTGTGTTGGGAAACAGGCACGGGGGAACTAAATTAAAGCCTTAATGAAAGTGTAAGAAAGAGGAAGTAAGGACATTGTGAATGTGAAAATTAGATTGGAATCTTAGTGTTCGCGTACAGCGCTCATTTGTTACTAATACATAAATGTACGTGGTCATTATTATTTTTGTGAAAAATGGCGAGAAAAATTTATGCAACTTTCAAGTTTTACTCCAGGAATATTTTTCATTAAACCAGTAAACAAGAAGGAAACAATCAGAATAACTGACCTGTTGTTTGTTTCGAAGTCCTATAGACCTATGTAGTCCACCTGTACAAAAGCATTTGTTAGACCAATTCGAAGCGAGAAATTAAAAATGAAAACTCTCAGCAAAAGCAGCGATAGTACGAATGAACTAGTTTTTAGTACGTACATGCATTAAGAGCGTTTAACCGAGTTTTTGATGCTTGTATGATTTTAGTCGAGACGGTTTCAGAATTTCGAGCCCAGATAGTTCATACTGAGGTTTTGTACTGCAGATTGCCACCAGTTACTTTCAGTTTCGTCCGACTTCTGGAGCACGAACGGAGAATGTTACATATTGAATGAAAAAGAGTGTTGCAGCTTTTGACTGCTGCTGGATGCTTCTGACACAGCACAGTCGAGATGGGGGCCAGATTGTATGCTACATGGTAGTACAGAGGATGTTTTATACTGTTGGTGGTAATTTCAGGGGTGTCCCGCTAGTGCCACGTTCCCCGCAATGTATGGGACCCGAGGTTCACCGCATCCAGAGATGTATCAATCCAATCCACATCATCAAACCCTCTGGTTTTTAAACCCATCTTAATGTTGTAATCCTACCTATGCTTAGTTCTACAAAGTTGTCTCTTTCTTCAGGTCTTTGGACCAAAATTTTGTAGGATTTTATATCGCTCCAGCTGGTTCTACAGGGTGGGTGGGAAGTAAGTAGGCATTGAGAAATGGTTATAACCTCTATATTTCCAATGCAAAGATAATAAAAATAATTTTTACATGTACCTTTTTAAATGGGAATGCCTACTTACTTCCCACCCATCCTGTATATGTCCCACCTATATCACCCTGCTTGATGCGATCGCGCTAATAATGTTTAATATTAATATTATATCTATATTTGCTAATTTGATTTGTCTTTGTTGTCATTATTAATATTATCCAACATTTTGGAGGACTATTCTACATCCATTTTTAAGGCTGAAGATTGAGGCAGTACATTCCTCCGAAATGTCGGTGTACATATAAGTCCACACAGCGTTACAGTCCAGAAGACCAAAATGGACATAAATCCTCTTAAATTTTAAGAGTTCACTTAGATGTTTGTGTAACTCCACTTATCTCGCTGAAGACTGGAACCTCTTAGCACATGCCATTAAGGTAAAAGCACTCTGCAGTTATGTGGTGTGGAGAAGGGGTAGTTCTGGAATCTTTCAGCCTCTCTAATTTGATTCCATTCATCTTTTAATATCTTCTTGAGACACGAGTATGATTAAGTGCAGGACAGAACAAAACTCTGCTTCGTAGATTTATCGATAGCTTGCGATTTAATTTCAGTGAACCACCTACTTATCAGGTAGTAGCTCTTCATTTTTCCCACACAATATTTGTGGGATTTGTATGATTCTCAGAATAAACACTGAATATTTCCCTAAACAGCATTTACCAGTTGAACCTTATAATGGAGACAATCTGTGTTTATTTTGAGGTACGGACTAAATATTAAGATGAGTTTCGTGCTTCAAAGAGAGTTATGTTTTGTTCCGGCGCCTTTGTTCATGGGTCTGTCCGTGTTTATCACAAATTATACGTAAACAAAATAGACGTACAATCTACTTTTAGACACAATAATATTTTTGTGATAGTAGTATATGAGCCGGTATATCTCAGTAAGTAACTTGAGTGGCTATGGGTTGGTTGGTTGACCACAATTCGATTTCCGGCGGAGGAAGAGATAATCCTTTCCGTCTAAATTACTGAGCATTTGGATTGTGTTTACCGGAGTTAATGCGACAGAAGCATGAAGCTGGCCATTCACCTGCATGTAAATCCAAGGTTAAGAAAGTAGTGGTTGTAGCACGGTGTGGTCTGGTAGAAATTTACCGACGTTTCGGATGTATTTGCTTCCTCCATGATTACAAACTTTTACCATACTACATGACGCTACAACCCAGAATTCTGCCGTCATCAAACAGTCTCAGGTTTTAAATTTTAGCAAATTTAAATCAACTGAAATCTGTCTGATTATTTTATGTCTAAAGTACGTTTTGGATGCATAACAAAAATAATGTAGTTGTTGTTTAAATTTAATTTAAATTCTGTTTGTTGATATTGTTTTATTTTTATTGGTAGACTGACTGGCAAATGTTATTTGGTAGCGCTGTTGAACATAGGCGATGTTCGGGCAGTAAGTGTCATTATTTTGCTTGAAGTTAAGAATAATATTAGCTGCTGCCGGCACCATTAATATTTGGAAGATAAGGCTTATGATTTAGTGCAGGTTGAAGGTAAAATGTAAAAATGTCCCTGGTGCTTAACTGTGCAACACGCCATGCAGATGTTTCTGCGGTGGTGGAGGGGTAAGTGGAGTGATAAAATAGTTCTGAGTTAACTTCAGGACTTCCACTTTCCATTCTAAAGATAAGATTGTTAGCTGTAAGTTACACAGGAAAAGGTGTGTTAGTCATTATCACTAAGTGAATCAGCCTTTGCCTTTTGCTACGTAGCTTAAACACTGGGAGTGGAAAATTGATAAACCTCCGTCGTATATGATAAGGCGAAATCACATTTATAAGGATACAGAGTGTGGTGTAAATATCAATGTCACTGCTGCCAACATAAATTTTGAAAAAAAAGCATAGTTTGAACCCGATACTAAGGTCACACTTTCACCGAATAAACTGTACTTATAGGACAAAGTAAATTTCAGATATTATTCCAGGAAATGTCAATTAAATTAACGTCTACTACTTCATTGATCATGAGTGAATCTCAAATATAAAACTTGTAAAATAACCTTAAAACTCTGCTTTATACACGTGAATCTGGGTTGATGGTCAGATTGGACCTTCAGGATCGGGTCTGGGAAAGAGCCCCTTGAAATAGGTCTCAAGGACTTCAGCTGTCTCACGTTCACCACAGTTAACAGATAGAGAACAGAGTTCTTTGCTTGGAGACATGTGTTGCACCCCTGGACTTGTTAATCTGGCGGCCAGCCCAGCAGTCGTGGGGTGGAGGGAACATAACTCTGGTAGCGTGCTGTGTGCAAAACCCAACTCTTTCTTGAGCCAGCGAGTGACTCAGTAGTACTCCGTAGGCCTAACAGATTAGAGGCAGATATCGTAACACCATCTCAAAAGTCACGTGATCTAAAATTAACGTTAATTATCAAGTGTTGTATGATTGGTTGTAAATATGTCGATATTATTTAGTGTGTTATTTGTTTACAAACTGTTTCAATAATGCATTTTATATATGGGCTTTCTTTTGAGGCTGTATTTTGTGCCAGATAAACTTACTCCGTTTTTGTCAAAGCAGAAGAGAAGCCTTCGTGTGTGAGTGTTTAAGCTTTGTTGTGACTTGATTCGTAATAATGGAACTGGAGGTTGAAATTATTAATGTCAGATGCCATCTGATGGATTTTATTGTTAAAACTTTCTGGCATTTCAAACAGAAGACTTATGGCATGTAGTGTGGATATTTAAAAATATTTTTTATTTTTTATTTTTGTGAGAAGTGTGATGGCAGTGCGGGACCTTCACTGTGAAATAAAAGGAAATAAACATAAAGTGAACGATCTTGTTTCGATTTAAAACATGCAGTACTCTCATTCAGTCTGTTTGCTAGTTACGTACATTATTTATTGTATGAATATTATGAACAGACAATATTGTGGAATGTGGAAGTTGATACGAAACATTTAAACAGCTAATATGTTAAGGTGGAGAACAATTAGGAAAATTAAAAGCATTGCCCTATAAGGTCACGGCCCTTACGTGTGTAAACACTAACAGAATTTTTTCTAATTGTTATGTTTTAATTCCGTAATGTTGGTAGTATTTTTCTGTGTAATGATGAAGATTTTAGAATTTTCCTCGGGCAACGTTATTGTTAACAATAATAACATCAGAAACAAGATCAGAAACAATAACATTAACCGCAAGAATGACATCAAATCCCATCAGCGCCATAAAAGATGCGGCCGAGGTAAGCACCATTCTTGTCATATTGTGTCAAGAATTCTGTCATTAAATAATCACGACACTGTAACCAAGAAATTTATTGAGGTGTGTAAATGTGACTCGCATGTAGGCTTTATTTATTGCTTGCGACCTGCTTTTCATATATTTGTAATACTGTATGTAGTACTCTCAAAAATATTTTGATATGACAGTTGTAAAGTAAGTGAGAAATTAGAGGATTACCTAACGAGAAACTTATTTATATTTTGGCCCCCCTAGTATTGTTTTGATTTTGAGTCTGGACTAGGGTTACCAGGCAGATGTTACAGAATTTGGTAGAGGGATTCCGGCTTTCAAGACCGAGAAAGAGGTAGGATCATAATTTTAAGGATATTTTGGGAGAAGATAGATGTAGAGGTGACAGAACCAGAAATTCTTTCGAGAACAACGCCATTTGTGCTACGTGGTAGATTCATTACTGCGTTAATAAATCCCGCCACTGGTCGTTATCTTGAGCCAGATGTATCCAATCGACTTTCGTGCACAAAGTTTCTTTTAAGATTAATTTTGATATTATTATCCTTCATCTACATGTAGGTCACGCAAGTATTTTCTTTTCTTCAGGTTTTCCAAGTACATGTTTGTATGAATTTGTCTTCTCTCTCATGCGTACACCTTAATTTGATCATTCAAACAAAATTTTATGAGGGTGCACATTTTGAAGCTTATTTTTACGCAGTTTTCTATAGCTTTCTGTTACTTCCAGTACGAGGGATCATCAAACACAAATTTAGTATTTCAAAACATAGCTCATTTAAGAAAAAATGCTAAAAATGTGTTTGTTGTATAATTTAATGTTAGCTTGAGCCCTTATAAATAAATAAATAATTCTTAAAATCAACACAATGTGTCACCGTTCTGAAAGATCAGTTGGCTGGTGTTGTTTAATGAGATAATGGCTGTTTCTAGTAAGAATCATATGCGAAACAAATAAATGTGCTCTGTGCACATCCTTAAACTGCATCAAAGTCTCTTCCGCTGTATGAGTAATCATTAATATATCACTGTTTTTCCTATACGCACGCTCAATTGACAACAGTGGCAATTTATTTTAGCATTTGAACAAGACTGAATATACAATATTTTTATTTTCCGTCTATACACAAACTTAAAATAATGTTGTTTAAAATTATCTAAAATTATAACATTCTCAGTAGACACTGCATCATGTTACATTTTTTGTATCGACGACATGTTTCAATGTGGAGGTTGTACTTGGATGTTTTATATCGGGTTGTAATTGATGTGTTGTGTGTCCGATATTAAGAGACGGTAAACTGCAGTTTGTATCAATAAAACACAAACATGACGCAATTAAGATATAAAAAAAAGACTGAATATATTATAGAAGTTCGTTTGACATTCTATCGCATTATTTAATCTTAATTCGTTGTCTGTGATCAGATATGAAGTTGTCTACAAATGTTATCAGCTAGTCAGTCTTATCTCTTCACCGAGTGTAAACCTTAATTTAATACAGTGGGGAAGAGTTGTAAAAGTAATGTCTAACGCGGTTAAAAAATTATGATATCATCGTTCTAAAAATGTAATTTACAGATGTAATGAAATATTTAACGAAACACAAGATGGCTGATAAAGTATTTTTCTTTATTAGTGTTGCCAAAATATAGGGCTATATTTAATTCGTTTAGATTAGACCTGTTAGGTGTCTGTCACAGACGATCAGCACGAAAGATAATGTGTGTGAGAAAAAAAGAGATTTTTTAAAATTGTGTACCATATCTAGGGCACTATGCCAAAAGGGCGTATTACCAAATGACCGATTTACAGGACACTAAACTCTTTCTTCTCTTTGGTCCGACAAATGTGATGATACTTTCTTCTGGTTTGATACTCTCGATATTGAAATTATAAAACCACCTCTGTCAATAAAATATGTTCTTCGTGTTTCCTTGAGTCTGCAAGTGTTAAGATGTGCAAAGGAAAATCAATGGCCCTCTCTGTTTCCGATGAACTTTATCAGCAAATAACGGGTAGGAGAGTGGAGGAAATAAGTAATTCGGAACTTTATAATCTGTATTATTCGTCGAGTTTTATCACGTCAAGAAGAATGGACTGGCGGACACAGGTGCAAAAACATTGCAGATGTTGAACATGAAGTACATTGAAGCGTATAAACGAAAAACGTCGCTAGATGTAACACAATTTTTTTATGTGGTAAAGCATGCGGACTCTAATATGATGCTAACTAGAGTTCGCTGACCGTTGTGAACTAATATGCGGACTGACGCCGACTGAGGAACGTTGCACTAGATGTGCTGTTCTCATTAAGTTCTTTCCATGGCTTCATTCTCATTTTTTGTAGGATTTGAGGTTTCCGCGGCTGAATTCGAAGATGGCTGTCTTCTGGGTTGTAGCGCCGTGTAGTATGGTAGAAGTTTACCAACGTTTCAGAGGTTCTTGCTGCCTACTTCATCAGAGCGATGACTTCTGAAATGTTAGTAAACTTCTACCAGTCTACACGGCGCTACAACCCAGAAGACAGCCATCTTCATTCGCATTTAAATAACATTTCGCTATGAATGTTTTGATAAATATAAGGAACTTAAAATCATTGTACATCTCTTCAAGACATACGGAAATAATTCAATCCTGAGAGTAATATGACAGGATTACTTCTTACATATTTTTCGTTTTTCATTAAAGCAGCCGGTGGCCGTATTGTACAACGTTCCGGAAATAGTCTCATCGCGTTGGAAGAGTTTTAGTGACGTCACGTGTTTTGACGAGCACAATGAGGTTGATTGAAGAGCTGATGAGTGGTCTGCTGTCTTCTGCACTTACGTAAAGTTTGCCAGCCCTCGTAACGTCTGGCAATACAAGTACTCTAACGCTTTTAATACTGAATCGTCTCCATGCAGTTCTTAAGATTGTACCCTGGTCTTTCTACACTTGTCTTATCTAAATTATTGAATATACAGAACTATAATTTTACATGGGCGTAAAACTTGGTCTCTTGCCAAGAATATAGATCGAAGTGTTGAAGATAATATTTGGGTCTATGAAAGAGGGTGTAACAGGATGGTTAAAATTTCTTGCACAGATTCTTCATAAATGATGTTACGTAATAAATGTCGTTTGGGTGATCGTATGATGGAGAATGAGGTGGACCGGATAAGTAGGAGATGGGACAGAAAATTTTATTTCCAAAGAGAAGAGAATTTGGAAGATCTAGGCTTAGATGGAAGGTTCATTGTTAAATTATATCTTAACTACGAGGGTCGCTCATTAAGTAAGGCTCACTTTAGAGAGCAGTGATGGGCCATAAAAGTTTGGAAATTTCATGGCATGCTAAATGATTCCTGTCTTATAAAGACTGTACCTGTGTTAGTCTTCTGGGTTGTAATGCCCTGAAGACTGAGGCAGTATGTTTCTCCAAAACGTTGGTATCTGCCTGCTACAAGTCCACATGGCGTCACTACCAGTGAGAATCTCAAATATCACGTTATCAGCACTGTGTTCCATTGAGTTACATATTTAATCACATTTTCGGAATTTTACGATATGACTATGTTTTGAATTTATTCGTGTAAGTAGTTTAATGCCACCGTTGGTATATGTCACAGTATAGTATCGATAGGAAAGAGGTTAAATATATAAAATAATAAAAAACATCTAAAATGTAGATATCCCATTTTTAAAAATACGATTAGAAAATGTATTTTTCCGGCGCAAAATTACATTCTTGCACGGATAATCTGTCGAGTTTCGAGGTGAATCTGAATGAGTTGACGCAGACCACGACTGAATTCTTCTACTTCTCTGCCGATTCGTCGGTCGTAATTATTTTCTACAAAGCATTCGACTAATCGCAGCGTCAGTAAATACAGCGTCACAAGTCATGGATAGACGCATCTCGCCACAAGCAATTTTGCTTTCTCCCGTAGGCGAAAGAAGGCGTAATAATTTAAACACGAATCAACGTAGTCGGCAGGGAAAGTTGTTTTATTGTTCAAATTGAAGACCGTTTTTCATTCTTCATGGTTCACCACTGGCGTTGGGCGTGTCGCGCTCCTTAAGACTTCCTATCAGTTCCTTCCCATAACATCTGTATATGAGCTACGGTTTAAGTTTGTTTTAAGAAACTTCTTTGTACTTATTCCGCAGATTTATGAACGCCATTTACCAACATTGCTAAACCTTAATCGTTTCCTTTGTGAACATATTTAAGAATACAGAAAATTCAACATTGACATTTTATAAATTAACAACATGTCATTTGACATGTTATAAGGTCAGTGGGTGTATTTGTAGTACAGAGCTGGTGACGTATAACCCTAGAAATATAACAGAACGAATGAATGTTTTTCTCTGGCGGGAGCGGTCGTTAAAAAGGAAATACACAACTTTTATAATTTATCTGTCATGTCATTTCAAAGACAAACTGAACAATAACTTAATATAAAAATGATTCAGGTTTTATAAAACGAAGGATACGTAAACACACGCTATTAATTTCCGACATATGTCAAACTGGTGTAGTGCAATGCTCAATTGTATTTACCCTGCACGGTTTCTAAATTATACCCAAAATAACTGGGCCCGTATGTTCCTACCTCAGAAGTCGACCTGTAGTTACGGTGGCAAGATACAAGGTAACATAATGCGGAATATTATAATGTAGAATTTCTTCACCGTTACATCAGTTATTAAAAATCCTAACTAATAGTAGCTTGTACCTCATTTAGTGGTCGTGTCAGCTCGGGTATGTAGAAGGGTAAATGGCGGAAATTACTGATCATGACAACTTATAGGGACGATTAGTAGTAGACCGAATCTCTTTCAGCAGTCCCCCGGGTATGTATTTTCTTCAAAAACATTTGCGTGTCGGCTGTCTTATTAGCGGTAAATATTTTTTATTGCTTCCAGAAAGTAGCATGTAGCGGCTGTGTGTTTTTACCACGTAAAACATTGCGCAGTGGAAATTCTTCGTAGATCCGCCAA